GAGAAAGTGCAGCAAAAGCAGGTGGTTCAGGAGTATGGTGGGGAAGGACGCCGTGCACGTGCATTAAGGAGGTCAGGACAGGCCTACTGAGGTGGTGAAGTTTAAGCGAAGACTTGAAGGAGGTGAAGTAGTTAGCCAAGCAGCTTTCAGAGGAAGACCATTCTAGGTAGAAGAGTCAGAGCAAAGGCCCTAAGGTGGGACTGCAGGGAAACAGCGAAAGGGGAAAGAATAACCAATACAGCAAGTCCCTAAAGACTATGAAACGATGACATCCAGAACACAGGCCAAGGGATTATTAGCTGAAATCTGAAAGAGTAACCTTTTCTCTAAGACTGCAGGAAAGAAGGTAAGAAAGAAGGCAGAGAATTCTTTAAGTAGAGAAAGGGGAGGGGGGGAAGTTCATGCCTTTTTTTCCCTATGAGGTGGTAGGTAAAGTTTTAAGCCAAGCATGGGACAGTGGAGAGGCTTGAGTAAAGCAGTCAAAATCTAACTTAGAAGTCACTGTGTAGAACAGGGGAAGGAATGAAAGAGAACTACTTCAACAGACACCAAAGAACCAAAGACAGATTCAGAGGAGACCTAAGGTTACACATTAATTGTGGCACTAAACCCCAGCACTGTGTGAGATTTCTCCAAGGCAGACTTAAAATAGAAGGTATGGCAGGTAGGAAGGATGAAGGCTGGCATTTGCATAATGGGTCTTGTGGGATAATAAAGGATTAAAGACTGCAAGTGCTGGTAAGAAAAGAGCTGAAGCAGTGCACCCCAGAAGTCAAGTGTACCAAAGGGAGACAAAAAAGTAAAATCTGGAAGAGGCTGTGATGGCCCAGGAGACAATGTGGAAGAGCACTTGGAAGGAGACTACAATAGCGAGAGCCTTGATCAGAGCTTCAGATCTGAGGCACAATCTGACATTAAGACAGGTCTGAAGGGGCGCCTGGGTGGCTCAGTCATTAGGTGTCTGCCTTCAGCTCAGGTTATGATCCTGGGGTCCTGGGATCGTGTCCCACATCAGGCTCCCTGCTCTGCGGGACGCCTGCTTCTCCCTCTCCCACTCCCCTATTGGTGTTCCCTTCTCTTGCTGTCTCTCTCTGTCAAATAAGACAAAAAACAAAAAAAAGATCCGAAGGTGATGACAAAGTAGAAGGCAGCACCACAATACCGTTACTGGAACGGCAAGAAGCTCATGTTTGCTTGAGCTGAAGTCAAGGAATTTTATGATTAAAGGTAATTACAAAAGAAGTTTAGTACAGTGGTTATGCACTTATTTCTAGTAGGAAATTTCTAGAGGAAGTCATTTAGCCTCTGTTTCTTCATCTGTAAAATAGGGGGTAACAGTATCTATTTCATAAGGTTGTTACAAGGATTAAATTACTGAACAATGTAAAGTGCTTGGAAAAGAGCCTAGCACATAGAAAGGGCTCAGTCTGAGTGAGCTATGTTGTCATTATTGTTGTTGTTATTGTTTATACAGTCATTGACATCTGCCGGGATGATGTCAGAAATTCAGACAGAGGGGGAAGTAAGCCAAGTATCAAAGACATCACACAGAACAATGGTGGAGGATGGTATAGCTGAATAATACGCTTTGGAATAAGCGTGATATTACATCTGTGATATTAAATATAAAAATTTTTCTTTAATCCATCAGACATTTACAATCTCGTTGACTTCAAACACATATATGAACAACCACAAAGCAATCATGAAAGTACCGACTGAGCACTAGGTAAGCATTACATGGCAATACAAAAGGGAAAAGGCTCTGACTATAAAAACCATAGAAGCTACCACGATATGGACTAAGTTGTACTAAACCACTAAGTAGTTCTAAAGCTTTAAAGACCTAGAGTTAACTTTACCTTACCATGTCTGTATACAAATGGTAAAGTGTAAAGAGAACTAAATCTCTACATGCACTGTCAATAAACTGGTAACGAACATCATAAAAGTAAGCATCAATGAGTCACTGGGCCATTAACCAAAAGAGTCCACCTGAAAGAGAAGTCCCAGGACAGTCACCTCTGCTTCATTTATCTTCTATTCTAACGAGCTGCAAGAAGAAAAGCTCTGAAAGCATGTGTATTTGTCCACACTTTCATGAACTCCAGAATTCATCAGTTTGCTCCAACAAGGCCATCTTTCAAAGAGAACGACATGAAGTAGACAGGCTATACGTCTGAAATCAGAGCTTGGGAAAATTATATCAGTTTACAAGATCAAAAGGATATGCCTCACTCCGGGGAAAGACCTGCTGTGATTAGCAGCCCAGGAAGGGGTTACAAACTACAAGGCAGGGCCCCACTGTTGTCCTTTACTTTGTACCCAGGACAAGACCGTGGCCGGGAAGCGAGCTAAAGAGTTCTGGGCTGGGAGAGACCACGGGCACTCTTCTTGAGAGTTTGTCCCCTGAACAAGTTCAAAATGGGAAAGAGAAAAAAGGGAAGCTGCACTCATACCTGGTCTTGGAAGGAGAAATGGTCTGTGTAAAGCCTCCAAAGCTGTACTTAACGGATAAATTTCGGAAAAACGTTCGATAGAGCAGAGCTGCACAGACTCATATCATTCTGCCACCAAATCAGGTTCCCAACCAGGTCTGATTTTATCAGATGCTGAAATTATGTTTAACCACAATTCTTCAGATCTTTTTTTGCTAATACAGTGACTGTAAATGTTTAAAACTTAGAAATAGTTCTTAATCGGGCCATGGAGTTTTAAAAAGACATTCTGTATTTCCCTCATGTCAAAGTAATACAAAAAGCACCCGTTTCCACTGACACCATTTTTTTTTTTAAGATTTTATTTATTTATTTGACACACAGAGATCACAAGTAGGCAGAGAGGCAGGCGGAGAGAGAGAGGAGGAAGCAGGCTCCTCACTGAGCAGAGAACCTGATGCGGGGCTCAATCCCAGGACCCTGGGATCATGACCTGAGCCGAAGGCAGAGGCTTTAACCCACTGAGCCACCCAGGCACCCCCATTGACACCATTTTTGATCAACTAAGTTTTAAAAGGAACGCTTGACGATAAAAATACAAAAATAGAGTATTAAGACTAATCTTAGAGAACCCTGACTGAAAATTTTCAGATAGCTCAACTTGAGAAGTTACAGGATTTTTTTTTTTTTTTTCATTAAGAAATGGAGTTTGGGGCTGCCTGGGTGGCTCAGTGGGTTAAGCCTCTGCCTTCAGCTCAGGTCATGATCTCAGAGTCCTGGGATCGAGTCCCACATCAGGCTCTCTGCTCGGCAGAGAGCCTGCTTCCTCCTCTCTCTCTCTCTCTACTTGTGATCTCTCTCTCTGTCAAATAAATAAAATCTTAAAAAAAAAAAAAAAAGAAAGAAAAGAAATGGAGTTTGAAAGCAAAGGGCACAAAGACAGGAATGCCACCCTCCAGGTCCTGTCCACATCAAGCATGTAGGAGAAGCCTGATTCACAGGCTCACACTGAATTCAGTTATTGATCATCTCCAGATCTGCTTTACAATCTCAAGGTGTGTGTAATCCTCATACTCCGTCCCCACACAGTACATTTAACTCCACCTACCCCATAATCCAACAGCCACACCAAGTTAATGAGAAAGCACCACCTCGCTCAAGAGAACACAAGCTAAGATTTTATTATGACTAAGCTAAGCTGACAAAATGCCAGCCTTTATGTAAAATATCCACCATGATATCACTTAAGAGCTATTCAAATCCAATCGCCACACTTTCGTGGGGCTCAGACAGACCGTCTATGACACAAAGCAGCATATTCAGTGTCGGCAGAGCAGCTGCCTAGAGCAGTGAGAGATATGTGAGCAAGGGATCTGTTGACAATCTAATTTCAGCAACCTCCAGATTCCACAAGGATGACAACCTGCATCCTCAGAAACACTGCTGCGTGCCTCTCCCACTGTCAGAATATGCCAGGCTACTAAACCCTGCATGGTGAGCTACTCCGAAAATCCACCCATCCAACGCAATACACTAACTCGAAGCCTCCGTCGCGGTAAACCGGCCTTAGCAACCCTCGGGTCTGCCTGTGTGCTTGGAAGGGATCACCATCAGGCCTCCACGTCCAGAGCCCGGGCCACACAAGATGAACAGAGGAACACCGGATTTCACCCCAACAGGAACGGAATCTTGAAGGCACTTGAGCACAGAAGCTCATTTAGCAACTGACCAAGGACAAAAAGTGATTCGGGAGTTCAATCCTGGTTTTAGGGCCGGACTGTGTCGTGTTGTATGAACAATGACTGGCTTGCTCGAGCAGGCTCCCAACCCCCACAACTTGGCTGCTGGCGCGGCCAGTCACCCTGAAAGCTGCCAGGGCTGTCACTCGGTGCCTTCCAGCAACCGGACTTGGCTACTAAAGGATTTGTCAGATCATCCTCCCAATATGGCTGCCAGAGTAATCCCGGGCTGCTCAACGCCGAGACCAGAGCAGCCTTCCCCGCGGCTGGCCGGCATCCCACACGCCCCCTCCCTCCGCATCGCGCCCCCCTCCCCGGTCCTCGCGCCGTCGGCTTCCCCTCCGCCCCGCCAAGCCCCTGCCTACCTTCATCTGGCAAAAGGGCACAACCCCGTTCCCAGGCTCGGCTCCGACGCCGACCACAGCGGGGGCGAGGGGGTGGGGGACCCGGGAACCCGGGGCTTCAAAGCGCCGCGGCGCCCGCCGCCCGGAGCTGCAGAGTGCGCACCCGGCGCCCGCAGCCCACAGCCGCCGCCCGGCCGCCCGGCGCCCGAGTCCGGAGGCTCAGGGAAGCCGAGGGCTGGTGCGGAGCACTGCGGGCGACCCAGCAGGCCGCTGCACCCGAGGCCGGGACTCGCCCGCCCGGGAGGGTCCCCCGCCCCGCGCCGCGCCCCGGTGGGGCGGCGCGACTCTCGCCCGGCCCGGTGCTTCCTCCGCTCGGACCCCGCCCGGCCCCGGCCCGGCCTCCCCTCCCCCCGGAGACCCCCTCCCCAGCCCCGGCGGCCGCGGCGCCAACCGCCGCCCCCCGCCCGGCCCCGCCTTACCTCAGCCGCGCTGCGGACCGACGGGCGGACGGACGGGCCGGGTCAGCAGGCGCCGCGGCGCGCGGGGGCGCGGGGGGCCCGACACCGACGCTCCTCAGCGCGAGCAGCGGCAGCCGCGAGCCACAGGGCGCCGCTCCGCAGCCCCATCACGCAGCGGCCCGGCCCCGCATCGAGGGCCGCGGCGCGGGGAGGGCGGGAGCGCGGGAGGCCGGGGCGCGAAGACGACCCGGCGGTGGCAGCCGCGGCGGACGGGGAACGACTCGGACTCGCGCTGGCGCCTCCCAAGGCTGCCGCCGTCTGACTGACCCGCGTCGGTCCTCGCGAAGCTCCGCCCGCAGCCGCCTGCGCCGGACACCGCCCCGAGCCCGGCCGCCGCTCGTCACCTCGGCCCGCCCCGACGCCTGCGATTGACGCGGGAGGCGACCAATCGGAGCTTAGAGCTCGGGGCGGCCGGCCAATCGCAGGATGAGCCAGAGAGGGGACGGGGCGAGGAGCTGCGGAGATGCCGGGGCGCCTCCTGGTGGCACTGACGCCCGCTCAGCTGCGGGGGTGCGGGGCTGCGGGGCTGCGGGGCTGGGGAGGCCGGCGACCAGAGACCCCTCCGGGGTGACCCGCGAAGGACGTGATTCGGCAGCGGTCGCGCTCGGCCCACCTGATGATCCGCCTTGCAGGGGAACAAAGCTTGGCCAAGTGGGGCGGGGCGGGACTGGGGGGCCAGGCGCCTGCGGAGGGGCTGAGAGGGATATGGGAGGCGGCCGGGTGTGCAGTCATTGTGCGTCTGGAAAGCTGCTCGCTCCGTGAAGCCTCCAAACGCGGCGCAGTCAGGACTGAAACACGCGAGGGGATGAGTGTATTATCCCGCAAGCGTCCCTGCCTATTCTTACCGAGCCCGATCACAACACCTCCCACACGCCACCTTGGGAGAAAAGGAGGAATGAGTAATGGAAAAGCATGACTTAGTGGGCATTCAACTCGTCTCCTTGGGAGACCGGGTAAGGACCGTGAGTAAAAGAACAAAACGCTTTGTATCGTCCCTGAGCTAATGACCCGAGCTCCCCTCCGGGACATGCCCTTGAAGGAGGGTTGTTGGGATTCAGCAGCCCGAGCAACACGAGCACTCTAGTAGCGATTTTCCGAAAATCAGATTTAGATTCAGCTCAGAAGGAAAAGCCCACGACTGTTCACGAGCGGTCCAGTTCAGTACCTAGTGAAATAAAATACTCAACGGCATATATGTGCAATTATCAATGTCAAATCCCGTTACTTTATAAGGTGTGAGATGCTTTTTTATTTCCTAACAGTAAACTTGGATTCCCCCCACCCCCCGAATTCAATATGGGTTTGGTGTTTTACTTATAAGCGGATACTAAAACATCAAAATTAATTTTTGACACTGGTGATTTTGGAAAATTTGCATCCCCACTAAAGTCGTCATACGCTCCATCCAGTCAACATTTATCGAACATTTCTCATTTTATTTAGAATTTAAACTCCACCCACCCACAAAAGGATTTGACATAACTTCCATGGAAGCATACACGGAATAAAATTGTATAGCATTAACATAGGAGTAAGATTAATATTAAAAAAATAATAATAATAAGAGGCTATATGGTGGGAGAGAAAGTCTGTATGAATAAGCCCAGTGCCTAGAAAGGAAATGAATATAAAAAACCAGAGTCAGGGAATGTGCTACCACCGAGCACAAAATTCAGCTCCCAGCTCCCTGAAATCCAGAACAAAAATGAAATTCCAATGGGTTAATGAAGAGAAGCTCATCAAGTCATCAATAGATACCAAGTTGTTCCTAGGTTGGAACTCTTTGTATAAGCACTATGATAAGCACCATGGAGAGTTACAAAAACCTGGATGGTAGGTAGTATTGTTTGAGCTCTCAGAGCTCAGTCTAAAAAGAATCTAAAACTGAGTGAAGGGAATGTGGTGGTAATCGTCACTGAAATTAAGCAAAAGCATACCGAGAAGGGTCAGTAGATAAAGGCTGTTCTAGGTTTGAAGGCCCAAATAGCCAGCTCTGCATAAGCCTTTTGACCCTTTGATAGATGAAGTTACTCTGCAGGGTCATTCAATTTCTCTGTAATATAAATGACAGATTTTGAACAAAGGCACCTTTTAAGAGCTGTCAAGTTCTTGAAAATTGAATTTAGCCATGGCCCCATTAGGTTATCCCTGGAACACAAGAAAATAACGACATCAAAAGATATATTAATGTGATGCACGTGCCCATGCTACTACAACTAATAAGGTTTCTGGATACAAGATCAATATACAAAAATCCAAAGTCAGTAAGAATAACAAATTAGAAAATGTGATTTTAAAAGATCCCATTAAATCATTAAATTTGGCAATAAAATTATAAAATATGGAAGGTTCAGTTGACAAAAAATGAGCAAGACACTTATGGAAAAATTTTTATAGATATATTGGTGAAACACTTCAAGAATACCTACGTATCGGGGCGCCTGGGTGGCTCAGTGGGTTAAGCCGCTGCCTTCGGCTCAGGTCATGATCTCAGAGTCCTAGGATCGAGTCCCACATCGGGCTCTCTGCTCAGCAGGGAGCCTGCTTCCCCCTCTCTCTCTCTCTCTCTGCCTGCCTCTCCATCTACTTGTGATCTCTCTCTGTCAAATAAATAAATAAAAAATCTTAAAAAAAAAAAAAAAGAATACCTACGTATCATAGCAACATTATCCTAGATCTCCTGAGACAGAGGAAACAAAAGTAAAAATAAACTATCAGGACAACATAAAAATAAAAAGCTTCTTCATAGCAAAAGAAACAATCAACAAAACTGAAAGACAACCTCTGAATGGGAGAGATATACCTGATAAGGAGTTAGTGTCCAAAATACATTAAGAACTTAAACAAAATGGGCAGAAGCCATGAACAGACATTTCTCCAAAAAAGACATATATAGGGGCACCTGGCTGGCTTAGTTAGTAGAGCTTTTGACTCCTGATCTCAAGACTGTGATCTCATGCCCCATGCTGCATGTGGAGATTGCTTAAAAATAAAATCTCTTTTAAAAAAATTTAGAAAAGGAAGACATCCAGATGGCCACAGACACATGAGAAGATGTTCAACATCACTCATCATCAGGGAAATACAACTAAGAACTACAGTGACATAGGGGCCACTCGGGTGGCTCAGTTGGTTGAGCAACTGCCTTCGGCTCAGGTCATGATCCCGGAGCCCTGGAATCGAGTCCCACATCGGGCTCCCAGCTCCATGGGGAGTCTGCTTCTCCCTCTGACCTTCTCCCTTCTCACTCTCTCTTTCTCTCTCAAATAAATAAATAAAATGTTAAAAAAGAAAAAAAACTACAATGAGATATTATCTCACACCTGTCAGGATGGTTAAATAAAAAAAAAAACACAAGAAACAAAAAGTACTGGCAAGGTTGTAGGGAAAAAGGTACCCTCATGTGATATTGGTGGGAAAGCAAACTGGTGCAGCCACTGTGGAAGACAGTATGGAGTTTCCCCAAAAAATTAAAAATAGAATTACCATAGGATCTAGTTATCCCACTACTGGGTATTTACCCAAAGAATACACAAACACTAATGCAAAAGGATATATGTACCCCTATGTTTATTGAAGCATTCTTTATAACAGCCAAATTATGGAAGCAGCCCACATGTCTATCAACTGACGGATGAATAAAGAAAAGGTGGTACACGTGTGTATATACATGTGTGTACATATATGTATATACACATACATGCATATACACAATGGAACATTACTCAGCCATAAAAAAGAGTGAAATCTTGCCATTTACAACAATATGGCCAGATCTAGAGAATATAATGCGAAGTGACAGAACTCAGTCAGAGAAAGACAAATCCCACATGATTTCACTCATATGCGGAATTTAAGAAACAAAACCAATAGCGGCGGCTGGCTGGTTCAGTCAGCAGGGCATGCAGCTCTTGATCTTGGGGTCATGAGTTCAAGCCCTAGGCTGGGGGTAGAGTTTACAAGAAAGAAAGAAAAAAGAAAGAAAGGAAGAAAAAGGAAAGAAAAGAAGGAAGAAAAAGAAAAGACTCTTAACTGTAGAGAACAAACTGATAGTTACCAGAGGGGAGGGGAGTGGAGGGATGGGGGACATAGGTGAAGGAGATTAATAGTGCACTTCCTGTGAGAAGTACTGAGTAATGTATAGAATTGTTGAATCACTACATTGTACACTTGAAGCAAATGTAACAGTGTATGTTAATTATACTGGAATTCAAATAAAATGAAATAAAAATAAAATAAAATCAGGGCACCTGGATGGCTGCCTTCCGCTTGGGTCATGATCCCCAGGGCCTGAGATCCTGTCCCACATTGGGCTCCTTGCACAGCGGGGAGCATGCTTCTCCCTTTCCCTCTGCCCCTCCCCCCACCTTGTGATTTCTCTCTCTCTCACAAATAAATAAATAAATCTTTTAAAAAATAAATTAATTACAATAAAAATTCATTTAATCACCAGAAAGTCAAGGCAGAGATAGTCCTTATTTTTGGACAGGAAGAAAATATTATGAAGCTGTCAATCCTCTCCAGGTTTAATCTATAAATTTAATGTAATTTCAATGAATACTGCAATAGGACTTTTCATGGAATTTGACAAGGTGATGTTAAAACTTATAAGTCTATTCCATGTCCATTTAAAAAAATTCGTATGCTAGAATGAAGCCAGGATTATCCATGACAATTTTTAAGAACGAGATGTGGGGACTTGCCCATAAGTTAGCAAGATTTTCTGTAACATCATTCTAATTAGAATTCTCTTGCATTGGCACAAGAATATACAAGTCCAGAAATGGAACAGAATAAAGTCCAGACCACACGCATATGGTAACACAACATATGACAGCATTGGCATTACAAATGTCTGTTGAGTGGGAAAATGGTAAACCATACATGATAATAAATGATGCTGGAATAATTATTTAACTATATGGTTAAAAATGTGCTCCTTATACCATATAAAAAATAAATTTCAGGTGGAATACAAACCTGAATCAGAGAAACAAAGCTTTAAATATTTTAGTAGAAGATATAAAATATTTTATGATGTTGAGATAAAAAAATACATTTTTTAAAAGTTTTATTGAGGGGCAGCTCTGGGTGGTTCAGTGGGTTAAAGCCTCTGCCTTCGGCTCAGGTCATGATCCCAGGGTCCTGGGATCAAGCCCTGAGTTGGGCTCTCTGCTCAGCAGGGAGCCTGCTTTGTCCTCTCTCTCTTCCTGCCTCTCTGCCTACTTGTGATCTCTCTCTCTGTCAAATAAATAAATAAAAATTAAAAATAAAATAAAAATAAAAGTT